TCTCATGTAGCAAACATTTGGGAACCGTTAAAGCTCCCTGTAATGTGAGTGAGTTCATGTGGGATCCTAACTTGGGCCAACTTGCAGAGTTCAGATTATAGGTTGATCAGAGCTTTGACAGACAGCACTTGGCATTTGGTCATCTAATGTTGAATATTACCCAGAATGATGAATTTTCATAATTCTAGTTTGTACTCTAAGAAGCCTATGTAATTAAACTCTCACATCTAGTTTGGTTTTTTTGGTGATCTAGTTTGGAGAACACAGATGGCCCATGGCACAATGACCGTGATCAAAGTGGGCCATTCGCCTCATCCCTCACTGATGCTCCAAAAGATGTAGGCAGGCAGCCACTGAACCCCATTTTCCCGCAAGTCCCCATTCCAAGGAGAGGAATAGTATCTACTTCTATCTACTATCTTGGGTCATGCTCTCAGGATAGAGTGGGGAAGGATCCCTGGATACAGGTATCACAAATGGAGCAAGAGTCCCCATAGTTTTTCAGAACCTCTTCCTATTAGTACAAAGTAAGAGGAGATTCCATCAGGCTCCAATTGCAGTGTAAAATCTTCTTACACACACACACAAACACATGCATACACACACACAGTTTTACCCCAATGTCTTCCTATCTCAACCTTAGTAACTCTAGCTTGCTGACTAGGGAAGACATCTCCTGCAGATTGACCAAGCAGTGTCTGCAAGAATGAGGTCTGCCACAGTTCTCTATAGTACTTGGAACTCTAAGCAGAAAACCCTGCTGTAGTCCTCCGTCTCACCAGAGCCAGCTTCAGGGTATGATGTCAGAGCAAGAGTGGGGAAGGGACACGTTGGCTGCGTGGCTTAGCTCCTGTGGACAGGTGCTGTGGTCAGTTTTACACGTACGTCACTGTTTCATCTGTATTCTCTCCAGACCTCCTTGCACTAAAGTTTGGATTCCCCTCCTCACTTCATTCCCCCAAGCCGTGCCTCTGTGCTCTTAGGAGATGCCAAGGGAAATATACAACTTGAACTAGTTTGCCATGCTGCTGGGACACTCGTCTGTTACTGATTTCTTCTCTTTTTTTATTAAAAGCATTTCTATTTCCTTTGCTCGGAAACCTCGGAGTGTATGTGCACAATTACCAAAATGCTGAGTCATCAGCATCCTACCTATTGAGGAATGTCAGACTCTAGAAACGAACGCATTGATCTTGCACAACACTTGGATGAGCCAGGACTTTGTCACGAAATGAGGGTTCCTTTTTTCTTTTAAAAATTGCTTTTATAGGCCCTACCTTTGTTAAAAGTGGTATCTTTTGGTGTTGGGAGTCCTTTGGGATTTAATGACTAAACCTTCAACAAATAGCATTGTTAAAAAAAAAAAAAGACATGTTTCTCCTTCCATCACAGCAATGGTGTAGCCTGCGTTTGTGACATGCAAGTCTCTGGGTGACAGCAGTGTCCATATCTGCCCTAAGTGCCAGTGTGGGGGTGAAACCTTTGGGAGGAATAAGAATTTTGTGTCTTTTTTCAACAGGGAGTAGAAGTGATTTAAACAAAAGCTTCTGTGGATGGAAGGGTTTTTGTAGATAAGATAGGGCTCTGTTTCCTTGTGAACTCCCTGAATGGTGGCATAAGGGGTGAGGATATGGAGCAGTGGGTGTGGGATGAAGCCCATGTCAGACCAGGCAAAGGAGGGGATTATCAAGGAGTGAAGGTTATTTCCCAGCATAACTGAACTCACAGGTCCTGTTCACACTCTGCCCTGGGTTATGTTCCAAACTGAGTTGAGATCAAGACCCACCAAGGCCAAGGTACAATTTTTTTTGAAACTCCACATATATGCTAAAGAAGCAGGTGTCCTGCAGGGACTAACTGCTTCCCTTTCACCCAACAGCTAGCCCCAGAGGAAACATCACTGGCTTACTTAGCCAGCCACCACCCTGGAACAGCCACGTAAGGATGTAGCCACGCCAGAACTCATTCGTTTGTTTGCAAGCGCACTAGGACCAGAAATGAATTACACATGTTTCTGCCCAGTGGTGACATTGTTTACAATCACCCTGGAGTTTGACTGTGTTCTCCATGGCACCATCATAGTCCCTCCTGATCTTTGGTCACTTTGAAAGAAGGTCTGGACCTCCGTCAGCCAGTACAGTAGGGGCCTACAGACCTGACTCTAGGAGTCACTGTTCCACATGCTCTTATTAGACAGACAGACACAAAGCCCCAATACTTCTAGTGGCCTCTTCCTCAAATTAACGGCCAAGGCCCATGCTTCTTGGTGCCCTTTGAGTCTAGTTGCATGTTATTTATCCGGCTACCCACCTAAAAGCTGCTTGGAGAAATCAGTTCCCCAGGACTTCAGGCCACAGAGAAAGAGCTTTCTCATTCTAGGGTGATTTAAGAGCTCTAGAACCTCCTTTTAACCAAGTTTAGATTTTGAATAAAAACCCTTTAAGAGCCCATAGATGGTGGTGATTCATTCATTCAGTACTATTTAATAAGCACCCACTCTAGGCCAGGCATCGTGGTAGGTACTGGCCACGTAATGGGACCAGAAAAGACAAAATCTCTATCCTCATGAAATTTATAGTAGAATTGAGTAGACATAACAAATGAGTACACACCTATAACTAATTAAAACTTGTGAAAAGTGCTTTGACCAAGGAGCAGAGTTAGAGTGAGGAATCTTCTTAGGGTGGCCAAAGACTTCAGAGAAGTGAGACCTAAGAACTGAACTGAGAAGCAAGCAACTGTGTGTGTGTATGTCTGTGTCTGTGTCTGTGTCTGTGTCTAGGGGGGTGATTGGAGAACAAAGGAAATGGCATCTGCCTAGGAGAGGGAAGTTCGCATGATTGAGGATCCCCAAAGAGGCTGTGGACTAGAGCAAAATAGGGGAAGGGCGTGGAAGGGCCAACATGAGATCAGACAGAACGGCAGGAGCCAGGTTATGCAGGGCATTAGAGGCCACAGCAAAGAGTTTTGATTTTATTCAAATATAATAGGCTCCGGCAGCTGAGATGTGAACAGATTAGAGTGTGGTGACAGAGATAGACCTGGAAGTAAATATAGCAGGACTTGCTGTGGGAGCTCTGGTGGCATTGTGCCTAAGGCATTTGACTCTTAACCAAAAGGCGGGTGGTTCAATCCCACCAGCCACTCCTTAGAAGGAAGATTGGGCAATCTACTGCCATAGAGATACCACCTTGGAAACCCAAGGAGGGGTCACTATGAGTCGAATTGACAGCAGTAAGTTGTTTTTGTTTTTGTTTTCTTTTTGCTATGGGTCTGAGGGAACAGCAGAAGTCAAGGGACTCCCAGGTTTCTGGCTTAAGTGAATGACATTTACTGAGAAGACTGGAAGTGAAACGCTTAGTTCTATAATCACATCAAGGCGGTGATTATTATGTTTCTAATGAGAAAATTATTCAA